ATGATTAAATAATTAAATATAATTAAAACTATAACGGATTGGATCGCAGATATTTAAAAAAATCGGATATTTGATATATAACGGATCGGATTGGATATTCGTGAATATTTTTTAAAAATTCGGATATCCGAAAATTCACGGATCGGATCGGATCGGATCAGAAAAATAACTTTCCATTATTCACGGAGCGGATCACAGATACCATATATTTTTCGGATATTCGCTCCATGCCCACCCCTCCAACCATCACAAAATTACACATGCAAACTCTTTTTACAAAAAAAAATAAAATAATTTGTCAAATAAGTAAATTAAATGACTAAAAGAACACAACTTGCAATCAAATAATAATCTACACTACATAAAATGAACACAGAAATGAACATAATTAACAACAAAACGTCGAACTAATTTTTTTAACAAAAAACAATATAATACAAAAGCCCGCGAGTAGAGCGGCTACTCCAAAATAGTTTTTTCTTTATCTTTATTTTTTGCACAAATAATAAAATCTTAAGGTTCTCTTCATAATTCGGTTAATCAGTTGAAACGGTTTAAGAGAATTGACGTATTTGCCCTCTACTTTTTAGGGCAAAACAAAATCCCAAATCAGAATTTCGCTTTCGTCTCCGAAATCTCCGGAGCGATTTTCTCTCCGACGGGACTTCGTGATTCTCTCTCCGACGGGACTTCGTGATTCTCTCTCCGACGAGACTTCCCTATTCTCTCTCCGACGAGACTTCCCGATTCTCTCTCCGACGAGACTTCCCGATTCTCTCTCCGACGAGACTTCGTGATTCTCTCTCCGACGAGACTTCGCTATTATCTCTCCGACGAGACTTTCCGATTCTATCTCCGACGAGCCTCTCCGATTGTATCTCCGACGAGCCTCTCCGATCTCGTAAGTAACTCTTTCTTTGTATCTTTATGATTCGATTCGATTTTCAACGCTCTCTCTATATCTTCATGATCCGATTCTGCCTCTGTTTTATCGTTCTTTCGATTTTCATGATTCCATACTGCCTCTGTTGATCCCTCGTAAGTAACTCTCTCTTTGTATCTTCATGATTCGATACGATTTTCAACTCTCTCTCTATATATCTTGATGATTCGATACTGCCTCTGCTGATCTTTCTTTCGATCGTATCTTTGTGTTAAGAAGAATTGTTTGACATAAGAATTGCCCCAATTACATTAGAAAACATAGGATATTGGTAGTTATGATTCGATGTTTATCCTTATGAAATTGAAATTCTGGATTTATGACACAAAGAATGTGTTACTATATAGGACCTGGATCAGTTTTTGAAGGAGCTGGGTTTTAGTGTAGAAAGTTGCAATGAATGATGCAATGGATGATGTAAGTTCTCACACCTAAGTGTGCTTATTTTGCCTTGAACACTCATTGACTTGATGTTTGCTGCAACAGTATGAATTAGATGTGGAAGCGGATCGTTATGTTGATGTCCAGTGTAGACTAAGCCTTACGAGAATAAACCATCTAATCTCTCTCATTAATGCGTGGTCACTTAATGCTCGCGAGTATGATCGAGGTGACACACAGACCATTGTTCGTGTATGGAGACTTGGACAACTCATCCTCTGCTTGAGGACAACTACTGGAATGACGGGAATGACGGGGCTGGTCATGGACATGGTGGTGGAGGTGGTGGGAATATTGGGGGAGCTGACCCGGGTTATGATTCTCCAGATGATGATGACGGTCCCGGAGGTGGTGGTGGTCTTCTCGTAGGTGGAGTCAATCCCAATCTCCCTCCGGCTGGTGGTGTAGCTAATGGCAATCCGCCTCCGGGAGTTTATGGTGAAGACACTTTGGAGA